TTGCCCTCGATGGAATCGCGGATGTAGTTCTGCATGATTTCGATTGCATTCGTGCGGGAGTCTTCGACAATCTTTGGGGTCTCTGATGGCTTTGGCGAAGAAATCTTGCCCTCTGCGATGCCTTGCTCAATCTGCCGACATGCCTTGTCTGCTGTGAGAACCTGCAGGGGATCAACTGCAAAAATGAACCCGACAAATCAGCAAAAACCCAACCTTACCTCAGCACTGCCGACTTTAGCAACCTTGTCTAACAACGCGTGCCTCGGACTGCTTTGCCTGTTCTCGCTCATATTGCAGTGTTTCTCGGGCAAAGTCTACGGCTTTGGACGCTTCTTCTACGGCTTTGGACGCTTCCTCTTTGTCTTTTTGAAGGGCTGCCACGAGATCCGAATCGGAACTCTTTCGCAACTCTTGACGAAGCTCTGCCTGCAACTTGCGCAGATGTTCCTCGCAACTGCCATACTTCTTGCAGGCAGCATCATAGGCTTCTTGTGCAGTCTCAAGCCGTGGTCTTTTCGCAGGTGGCGCAGACTGCTCCGCGTTTGACATGGCTTTGCAACTAAATTTCAAACACAATATGCGTTGCCCGTCCTGATGGTTTTGGATGTAATACGGCTGTGGACTACACAGGTGATGCCCTTCATGATGGCTCTACAGGAAAACTGTTGGGGCTTGTCCTTGGGCAAGACATGCACAACTCTCCAAAACTACGACCTTAGAAGCCAAACCTAGTAAAATCTATGAGGGAACCCTTGCCCATTTCGGGATGATAATACCACCTTAGGGAATATGGATGGGGTAATTGGTTATTCCTATACTGGTCTTGGTAATGAAGTAGTAGTAGTGATATATTGGGTGGGGTGTAATAGGGAGTATGGAATATTCCTCTTATATGGATGAGGTAATCGGTGATTCCTATACTGGTATTGGCATTATTGGAAATGGGGTAGTAGTAGTGATATCGTTNNTGGGCAAGGGTTCTGCTAACTAAAACTCCAATCCCAAGTTTCTCAAAGTCTCCAAAAGGCGGTCCGAAGCTTATGAGGCCATCGCCCGCGGAGCGAGGAAGCCTCGGGCCAGGCAGGACTAGGCGAAGAAAAGCCAAGCAAAGCGCATGTAGTCGTAGTCACGTCGTAGTATGTCGTAGTCATGCCTGGACCTCTGCAATCGACAGCCTTTGTCCACGTATGTCAGCTCTGAGATCGCGGCCGCCTTGGCGTCGCTGCGGGGAGACGTCACCTGCACAGACTCGAGTGCGCAGAGCCCTTGCTCGGTCTCGGAGGATAGCCCGGCTTCCGGGACGGTAGACGAGGGCATCGGTGTGATACTCCTTGGGTCCGGTTCAAAGTTGTGACACCCTTTCTTGCCTCTCTTCCCCTCTATGCCTCCCTTCTTCCTATCATCCGGGCTTCGGCGGACTGCTTCCCTTCCGGCGGCTCGCAGACCGAGAAAGGCGAACCTCGGCTTCAAGGCTTCCACGAGCGGGCGCTCTGGGCTCTGGGGCTCTGGCCCATCCACGTCGCTCCTCGCTGAGTCAGAAGCTGAAGCGTCTTGCATGCTGAACAATCATCCCGGATATATCAAAAACGAGCGGTCCACCACGCTCAGCGAGGATCTTTCATTGAGTGAGATGTGGCACAAACATTCGAGCCGAAGCTTGATGCTGCGGGTCAAACAGCTCCAGGATGCAGAAGCTCCGAACACAACCCAGTCTGGCTGTCTTGCAGACTGTACACTTTTACCTCTCAGGCTGAGCATCAGCTGGCTGACAAAGGCAGCCAGTTTGGTCCATAATTAACGAATGCGACATGAACCGTGAATCCATGTGTTATGGACTCACAGTTCATAGCATGGCCCTATATGTAGCAGTATTGTAGCAGCCGCAACAAACTTGCGACTAGTTCAAGAGCGAAGGCCAAGCTTAGGCTGCGAGAACGTTGCCTTTGCGTTCAAGCAGATCACTGGCATGCAGCGCTGCCTCGCAAACAAACTGGAACCTGCGTGAGAACTGGAGCGGACTGGGAAATCTTTGCCTTGGCTTTGAAGTGAGACCATCCCCCAGCAATATCTCCAGCACCTGTGCTGACATAACTTTCTTCCCAGTGCGACCGAGTAAATCATGAAACCATGCACAGAAACTGAAACAGCGAGACACCTCTAGGATTGCTTGGATCTCCATCTTTCTCCTTCAGCTCCTTCAACAGATCGCTCTCGAGGTGTTGGGTAACGTACGCGAGGCACACAAGAAGGGCACAAACGGGAAGAGGCCTCAGCCACCTCCCGCTGGCCCAAGTCGAGCCCTGTCGGCACGGACTGGCTCCTCACAACGTGAACTCTGCTTTCTGCCGTGCTGCCATGTAGAGGCCCTTGCCTTGTGGGTTTGAGATCTGGAGCGCCCTGATCAAGCACAACCGGCCGGTTCGGCCTGCTTCACTCGCATGAAGCGCCGGGATGCCCGAGCATGGCGCCCTCTCGTTCGCTGGAGCTGGAGGAGTCCAAGACGGCCTCACGCTTCTCGACACGACACAGCGGTAACCATGCGGTGCCGGTATCGGTATTGCTAGTTGGCTCTCAATCCTTCCTGCTCACATGCCTGGATTGACAACAGCTCGCCGTGACCGGCTCTGTCGGCAGGTGAAGCCCTGACAAGAACAGGTTCTCGACCCAGTCCCAGATTCTAGTGAAGATCATGCGGCCGAGAATTCGGAAAGGCCATGCAAGATATTGCAAGACCGTTCCAGCTGCATCAACATGAATGCCTGAATCCTGCAATGTAGAGGCCATCTCGGGCCTCAGCACGTTGCAGCAAAAAGAACACCAGAGGCATCACATGTTGCTGCCCTGCGAAGGTCGCAGGGCCTACATGAAGCCCGCCCTACGGCGCCACTCCGAGAGCCTGGCTGCTGGCTGAACTCCACTTTCGGCTTTTGGGCTGCGGCAAGATCAAACTCCGACTCCTCCAAACAATAGAGGCACTTCCGACAGAACCGAGAGCATGAACGCGGTTTCCTGATCCATGCGGAGGAGTCGTTGTGGATCCACTGTAGTCCCCGAGCTTACAGAGCATGGCGTCTTCCCATCAAAGTCTTTGGCCTCTCGGCATCTCTCGACATGCTCTGATGTCTCCGGGTGAATGTCACGCACAAGGGCGGTCGCGCCTCCCCGGGTCCGTCGAGCCTGCCATGCAAGCTTCAGGACTGAAGCTTGCAACGAAGTCAGCAACTGGCCGTGGCTACCCTGTCGATCCGGACTTTGACAGCGTCAGGAGGTCGCTTGTCCTGAGCTGCAAATCTCTTGGAGCCAGTGGAGAAGATGCTGAGGCAGCCGGGCGACATTCGGGGTGGAGTGAAGTACCTGGACGGCAGCGCAGGCAGCGGCGGCAGTGGCGTTTGGGTGCCAGGGCTCCTCAGACCGAGCTATGGCATCAAGGCCACCCAAAGCAGTTCCCCAGCATGGAAACGAATCCAAAGAATCCAAGCCGTGCGCGACTGAATCGCCTGCGCCGACACAGCTCATGAGTCACCAGTCAAAGACGGATCAATCTGGACGCTGCTGCGCTGGGGCTGTGAATACACTACGTACAAAGTGGTTGTCCGACATTTAATGTTTCCATCGGCCTCTGTCTTCGGCAGCACCTTGAGTGAGAGCTCCAAGGTGTCACTGGGCCTCCGAAGAACTTTCAGCAGGCACCTGGTTTCTGCTGCATATGCTTCCTACCTTCGTACTGCAGGCTCCTCAACCTTGCTCTCTGCCAACAGTGCCTGCCCGGAGACTTCCGAAAGGACACGCTCAATCTGGGCTCTTGACCGGTCTTGGTTTTGCTCAGCCCGTGCTCGTTGCACCACGAGCGAAGTCAACAGAGCTTTTCTGTAGGCGCTTGCCATCACACGAAGAAGCGCTCAGCTGAAGATGGACTCCTGCTGCTTGGAGTAAGCTTCATGGCACCATCTCCGAATCATCTGAGACTCAACGTGACGTGCAGCTGGTGCACATGGTGGATCGCGCCTGTCCGAAAACATGAGGTCCAAGTGATGTGCGCCCAAGTTCAACACCAAGGCGATCTGAGATCCATCACTGCTTATGTTTTGAATGAAAGGGCCATCGGGACCACCACCTTCTGGATACACCCCCATGCCCGACCACGGGTCCAGGGCTCCGTTGCTCCAAACGATGTTCCGGTGTTGGGAGACATTCCTCCCTCCATAGTATGCTGTCAGCCAGCCACTCCAGGGGTCCGTCGTCACAGGCGCTCCTGTCATAACACATTCCCAACCGCTTCCGCTTCTGACTTAAGTAGCTCGCGGCCCTTGGTCTATCCCCTGGCACCTGCCTACTGTGAGGTCTGGCCGCCCTCTGACTTCAGTAGTTCTGCATTTCTGGCACCTATCATGCATAAAACTTTTGAAGCAGATTGTGCGAGTCTGATATCGAACCGGAGCTGTAAGATGTTAAGCCGTCAAGCCCTGACCTCGGAGTCCCAGGGCATTGAAGTGCTCGGTACAGCTGGCCGGAACCAGCCTGTGTGGCCCAACCATGCTGGCAACCGTGAAGTTCCGGAAGGGCACGCTTGGTGGCCAGTATAAATCCCTGCCCAAGCCTGGCGAGCGAGCGAATTCAACTGCAGCACGTTATTGCGTACCGCACGTCTGCATTTGTAGACATGTTTTACACTTATGTGCGTGCCTTGCGCAGAGATTTGAGAGAGGTCGTCGTTGCAAACGATGGCATCCCAGGAGAAGGTCTTGGGCACCGATCCCGTGAAGTTGCAGGGAGGCTCAAAACCGGCGCAGCGCGACACCGGGCAGTTTGGGCAGCTCGGGCAGGGAGGGCACGCAGAGCAAGCGGCTGAAGGAGCTGTTGGGGCCCGGGCAAGTGGCAGTTTCAGGCCTTGCTTGGGAGTCTGTGAGGGTTCTGCTTCAAGCGCCTCAGAGTTCACGTTCCAGCAGGACTGATCCCCAGAGGCATTGTACCAAACTCCGGCAGCATCTGTGACTGCAGCAGCCAATTCCAAAATGCCGGATGCCTTCAGTTCCTCCTTGCTTAGCTGGTCTCCGTTGCTCCACCAGCGTGTCCAATCCACGGTGACCCGTAAAGCTCCCATCCTTGCCGTGTAGTTCACATCCGAACGCGATCCTTTCACATCGATCCCAAAGTCACCACTCAAACCTTTGCACGCGACCCTCATCGGCCATGCTGGAAGTGCGGATCCTGACCCGACAGCATAGGTGATGTAGGACGATGGGTATGGATAGTTGCCCTCGGCCAGCAGGAAGAACGAAGCAGCCGCCCACGAAGTCAAACTTTCGATGCTTTGAAGCTCCCTGCAAGTGTTCAAACGCTCGCTTAGGAGTTCCAGGGCGACAGGAGACTGGAGGCCGCGAAGCAGCGCCCAGGCTACTTGCAAATTCGCGAGACACTTCTCAGAGGATCCTCCTGCTGGGGATAGGCCGCGGCTGATCGCAACAGCTGGCCAATCCACGGTCTCTCGCGTGACTGTGGTAGATAGTTGCCAAATCGGTGCCGATGCCGCAATGGCACCGTCCACGACCTCAGGGGCTCAGGGCTTCCTACCGCCGATATGAACCCGCTGGGTGGTGGCCCTAAGTCGCTTCACGCTGTCGAAAGTCGCTTCATTTTCCACATATTCCCAGGGCTGTCGCAGCATTTCCATCGAATCGCACAATGTGGTAATGCACCCGACATCCATGTCCTCATATGTCCGCAACTTACAGTGCATCAGCACATCAAAACCAGCCAACCCCCCATCAAAACGCTCGATTTCACACGCGCAAGACACGCATCAGTGGTATGACAGCACGCCCCAACCTGCCATTCCCCATAAACGCTCCATTTCACACGCACCCGTGAGAGACATCAGTGGCACACACGACAGTGCATCCACACTACTCCCCCGTGTAGACGCTCGAATATGCTCGATTTCATTTCACGGGCAAGCACGCGAGACACTATATCATAGCAGTCATGGCATGTCCAAGCCAGCCATTCCCCATGGAGACGCTCAACTTCACAAGCACCCGCGAAAGACGCACATCATTGGAGTCGTGTAGAACGCGTGCCAAGGCTTCAAGCCTGCAAACATGAAAGTTTACTGCCCCCTGAGGCTTCAAACCTGTAGAGCACCAACGTCTGCTACCGGCAGGGTTTCACATGCACCTTTGGTGCGAAAATTATTGCCCCCAACAAGTGTAAACCTGCGAAATCCGAAAGCTTACAACCCCCAAGGCCCCAACCTGCAACAACACACAAAGATTTGATACCCCTGAGGCAACAAACCTGTCGACTAGCGAATTCATCTTGCTTCCTTGCACCACGTTTCCCGGCACTTGTTTCGAGCGGCGTAGAAAAACTAGGGATTTGCTCATCGCAGCACCCGCAATCCGGCAGACTTGTCGCAGTCTGCTTCTTGCATGCTGGGCAAGCCATTTTCTCAGGCTTTCACTGGTAGCCGGAAGGTCGAGGCAACAGCATCTGGCCCTCGTCGGTTTCGTAATCCATTTCGCTCTTCGGCACGGTAGACTTGAGCAGCATCTGGCCAAAGACGCAAAAGAACGATCATAATATCACAGCGGAAAAAACAGCCAGTCCCCATGTAGACGCTCGATTCCACAAGCACCCGTTCCAAACACATGGCATCACGGCAGATCAAAAAGCAAAACTAGCCATTCCGCATGTAGCAAGTCGATTAACAAACACCCGCTCGAGACACAAGTGGCATCACAACACATGAATACCAGCCATTCCCCATGTAGACGCTCAGTCCGCAAGAACCCGCTCCAAACGGTTGGCATTAACAGGCAACAGACGAAACCAACCATTCCAAAGGTACAGGGTCGTTTCCGCAAGCACCCGTTCGAGACACACATCCTAGGCATCACAACACATCGCAACCAGCAACTCCGCATGTAGACACTCGACCCCAAAAGCAACCGATGGAGACACAAATAAGAGATCATCTGTAAACATCCCAGCACATCAAGCCAGCCATTTCCCACAAGCAACCACTCGAGACACAGATCAGTGGCATCACGGCACGATAAAAACACCCTGTCCCCGTGTACAAGTAGCAGTAGCATTCATAGAGCGCAAACTTCCCTGTGACAATACGTTTCCGCTTTGTGACGAAGCGACTTTCGGGCAGGCACCGAGCGGCAAAGTTGCGCAGTTCTTATTTTGCTAAGGCCTCTGGATATTTCATTCTCATCCATCCGGAGAGCATGCCCCCATAGCTCCCACCGAAGACAACGACAGGCGCGCGCTGCGCATGCTGCTGCCGTAGCTGCGACATGATAGCTGCATAATCTTCCAATGCTTGTGCTGTTGTGCAGTATGATACGCATCTCGGGCAGCTGTCGCCTTTGAATATCGGGTGCGAGTCAGGCTCGCATCGGTGTTCTGCGAAAACGAGTAGCGCACCCATCTTTTCTCCCAGCTCCCACATCAAACCGGTGTTGTTGACATACTCGCCGACCGGTGACTCATTCCCTGTGTAAAAGAAAATAGGTCCAGGAGACGTGGGCGAAGCATTGAAGCCACTCTGCAGTGCTGGTCTCCACCACTTGTCGAACACACAATATCGCTGCGGAAATGTGCCAGAAAAGGTCCCAAAATGGTCGACTTTCTGCTGGAAATCATGCCAAGTGCAGTTTAGGGTTGATGGCCTGGCAGACTCTCTTTCTTGCCGCCAGACCCCGAAGCTTTTGAGTGGAGCCGAGGGATTGGTATGTATGCATGCAGCTTGCCGAAGAAGGGGCACGATGAGGCTTGCCAGAAGCCACATGCTTCCGGGGCCGATGTGCTCCGACAAGGCTTGAGCCGCTGCTAGGACATCTGCCAGCTTGCGCTCTCTCAGAAGCCCCAGACTCCTAAAGTTCCTAAAGTCCTAAAGTTCTAGAGTCTTCATCTTAGAGGATTCCGCAGATGGCCCCGCTCCACAGATCAGGTGCCTTTAGCTTGGCCAGGCCGCTGCTGGGCTTCTTCGTGCTGGTGATGGGAGCGGGAGATGTCGCTGGGCTCGACCTCAGCGCGACGCGACGAAAGGAAGGTGAGCGAAGGCTGCGGATGCCTCCCTCTCTCTCTCTCTCTCTCTCTCTCTCTCGCTTTACCTCTTCTTCTCTCAGCGTTCCTCTGAAGACTTGAAGACACACAACTTTGCGACTTAGCTCCCGACGGGCTGGGAGAAAGCGTGCTTCGGCAGCTTGCTCCCTCCGCCTGCATGGGAATCGGCACCTCTGCGTTGGGCTGGGTCGCCTGGACAGGTACACACTCACTCATGATTTCCAGTGACTCCGGTGTCTGCAGGACTGGGTCTGCAGGCATCGTGGGCGTCGAAAAGAGCCACAGCGGCATCTACCTGCCCGGTTGTTGGCGCTTGCACAACTCCGCGCTTTCTGTTGGCTTCGCTTACCAGGTGGCACATCAGACCGATGCCAAGCATGTCAGTCTGCTGCTGACTGTCTCAAGTCCGACAAGTTTTAGCCACACAAGAGAGCATTCCCGGCTTGGGTCTGAAGCATCACGGCAATCGTCTGAGTGTCATCAGTCCCAATGACTACAGTAAGGATGTATACCAGAGCTGGCGCTGCTCGCGAAGTTCGAGGTCTCCCCTTCTGCTTTGTCAGGCCTTCTGCTGCAGTCTGCTTCTCGCTTCAGCCAAGAGTTGCGGAAAGTTCGCCTGTGGCACCTCAAGGTAAGACATCAAGCGAAGCTCCTCCGGATTGCCCTTGCACTCCGGGCGTTGGGCCGCTATTTGGGCGGGCGGATGCGGAGCCTGACCTTTTGCCTGCCAGAAACAGCAACAGCTTCCTTGCTGAAACCAGGAAGGGGGGGGGGGCATCCAGAACTGCATCACCACATCAAGCCAAAGCGTCTCGTAATGTGCGGCCACTTCTGGCGTAGGAGTCTCTTAGACTCGCAACATGGTACAACGAAACACCGCAAGTCCCCTGCTGCCTCGGGGTCCCACTCATGCCTGGTATACCCAGCAGGCATGCCTTCGGTCGATCTGGCGAACATGAGAATGAGATTCCAGTCAACGAGCTGCCGCCAAGCTGCACTTAAGTGGGCTCACGCTCCCAATGCGTGGAGGCAGAGATGAACTGCCTTGGCCCGAAGAATCAAGAAGCGTGCCGCAACGCAAAGACAAAGACGTGAAGCATTGGTGCAAGCGGTGCTGAGAGGGGCCCGAGGCTTGGACTCGCCAGGATGTTTGGAGCGAACCAGGCATCCTGATGAAAGCGATCTGTCGTGAACCTTTCCAGGCCGTGACAGAGCTCAGGCTGCAACCGAGGGGTCTTTGGAATAAGGCAGTGCCTGGGCCATGACAGAACGGAACAAAGCGGGGTGTGGGCAGATTCAGCCCGCCTGGCTGTCCATAGGCACCGGCTCTACCACCATGGTATCTGAAGAGGTCAAGCAAGCGGCTTCCGAATTGCCGATGGATTGGAGTTTATCAGCACCCGCCAAGCCTCAAGTGTCACCCATGGAGTCATGGAGCCTGGGAACCTGAAGCCACCAACCTCCGATGTTACAGCCTGAATCTGAATCATCGACACCGACGAATTTCTGATTTGCGAACCTCCCTTGCTAATGCTCTGTCTATACTGCAGCTTATTTGGTACGAGTTGGGTAGTTCTCCCTAAGGCAGCGGTCGGGGACTGACAGTTTAAGCTGTCCTCTTTTTCACAGTCCCCTCCTGGTGACCACGACACGCATCTCGAAAGGCTGCCCTGAAGCAGCGGCCGCGGCGCCTTGACGGCAACAACGACCAAGGCTCAAGCATTGCAGAAACTGCGCTTAGCAGATCACTGTAACGCTGCGTTCTCGATGGTAGCGAGCCAGCAACAACGCCTTCTAGGAATTCCGGAATAGCCGAACCCTCGACAGGGCCAAGGTAGATGGTCAATTCCCAAAATGCTTGTGCTCCATGACGTACAACAATGCAGATTGCTTCCAGTTTCCGCAACCTGCTCTTGAGGCTGCAGTCTGAAAAAGCCTCCGTGCTGACTCCGAATGCAACAGCAAACTTATCTAATCACAGTCGGACAGTCGGACCGGGTCTTAAGCCGGAACCTTTTGCAAAGGTGGCTAGATGATTAGCGCCGTGGGCTCCAACAGCCTTCGAAAGACATGCTGAAAAGGGAAGCACATGTCCTTTGTTCGCTACGTACTCCGGCGGAACGTGGCTTGGAAACAATGCCCCAACCCATGCTACTGCGCGCCTCTGGCATCCATTCACGTCTCGTACATCCCGCAGGCAAGCCTGGACATTGATCGATACTATCGCAAGCATGAGATAGATTGAGATTCCAGTCATCGAGCTGCCAAGATGCACTTCAGTGGGCTCCCGCCCCCGATGCGTGGAGGCAAAGGTGAACCACCTGGGCCGGGAGAAGCTGCAAACTGTCCGGCAACGAAGACAAAGCACGTCTGGGATGCAGGGCTTGGACTAGCAGGGATGCTTTGAGCGAGCCAACCGTCCTGATGTCTTGGTCGATGCACATGCGATGACTCGGATTGTGGCCACCTGGGGGTGGGAGGCTTCGGGACCACGGAGGGTTGCGCGATTGTCCTGGCTGGCCGTAGGCACTGGCAAGTCTGTCACCGTACCTCGGAAGGCAAGTGGTGCGCTGCAGTCACCAATCTGTCCATACCGAGAGCCCTGCACGGTGACCAGGAAATGGATCTCACATGGCTGCCCTGGTAAGGGGACTTAGGCACTGCGAAAAGCGAAGCTTGGGGCGACGAGAGCGTCAGCAGTCTCCGTCTCTGTCAAGATCGAGTTGTTTTGGGCTTGATTGTGCGCTCTTTCTGCAGTCAGTATCAAAGTTTGCGGACCTCGGATAGCTTCAAAAAGCCAACTTTGCGACTTGGCTTGGGCCTTGGGCTCTGCTTGTTGATCTGATCTTTTCGTTGCTGGGGAATGCCACCCGCTCCAGTATTGAGAGAGTTCAGCTCTGCGCCGGCTGTAGCCGAGCCAGTCTCAGGCGATCCTGCACCTTCCTGCGTTGCGCCTTGCGTCTTGCCGTTGTCGTCTTCGGGCATGCTGTGCGCTTTGCATGATGGTCAGGCTGCCCGGGCTTTCTCCCTAGTGCGTGCATCGTGCAAGTGCGAACCAAGCGCAACCACCAGTAATTCGCTCCCTCGGTCCACTCCAACGCTCGACCAGGCTGAAGACTTGTGTATCTGTACAGCCCAGCTCTGGCTTCAGCCCAGAATCGGGATGCTGACACAAAGATGCTGGAACTGTGTGGTCCCCGTTAACACACCTACAGATGTTGTGGATGTAGTTATATAATCTATATCATATCGCATCTCCGAGACTGAGTGGCACATGTACACGGTGTGAATGTGGCTTGGGTTTCAAGTCACTACGATTCCGGGTACTTGCGCAGTGCATGCTCAATAGAGACCTCACGCGATCGGCCAGTGACACAACCCCACCAACTCGTGCATCCATGCTCTGCGGAGTGCTTGGACGTGTGACTGCACATGCTGTCTCAGATGTTCTGCTGATAAGTGTCCGTGGCAAAAGTTTCGTGCAGAACTAGAAACAGGACCAGAACCTCAAGAGCGACCGAGGCACATGTCGGAAAGCAACAACCCTAGCGTTCGAGCAGCTTGCCTCGACTTGACCAGTGCAAGCTGTGTCGAAGCGCTTCGTGAAGGATCCTCAATGAAATCTGGGAGAGGACACTCCTTCCCTTCCACTCTACTGTCCCGTAAGCCAACCCTGTCTTGAGGCTTAAGGACCAGCCTGTCTGGCGCAAAGGCCTAGTGGAGGCCTCCTGAGCAATTTGCAATGACTACAAACACACCACCAAGTTTCAACGATTTCGGCCTGTACGGTCGCGACTGGCGCACCCTGTGCTGCCCATGATGCCATCAATGAGGTCGCCTCAGCTGCAATCAGGCTTGGCCGTCTGCGACGTTTCCATGTTCTCCGACCACCTCTAAATCCGAGCTTTCAGTCCAAGTTAGACATTGTTTTCAGTGCTTTCTTCAGTATTCCTGCAACAGCAACACGTCCACATGCCACGTATGATTTCTGCACTGAGCGACTTCATTCTCCGAAATGCCCACCGGTCAAGCCTCACGTTGTGTTTTCTTCGTGATAGAATTGAAGCCAGCCGGAATTCCTGCAGATCTTGAAACGAGAACACTCCAAAAATCCACTTGACTCCTGAAGATTAGCCATACGTCCAAAGGCAGCCGAAGTCGCGCATGGAAGTGG